CGACATGGAAAAGATGGTGGAACAAGTGAAGGTTTTAGAAGGTCTGAAGCACGCATGTACACATTTAAGCATCCCTACCAAGGCAGTCTATGATGACAAGAACCACTGTAGGCTTAAGGAGTCTCTCTCAGAAAGCTTGTGTGTGTGTGTGTGTGTGTGTGTGTGTGTGTGTGTGTGTGTGTGTTCTCATACCAGTTCCACTCTGTGTCCTTTGGGAACAAACAGCATTGTCAGATGTAATTTATAACCCTGGTTGAAAATTAAAGATGTAATTTGTAACCTCCTGGTCCTCTGCCATCTCTGTGAGCCAGGACAACAGAAACAGCTCACGCACAAGCACACAGATACATAGAGCCCTCTACCCTGCCTGCCCCAGAAGACATAGCACATAGACAGGAAGAAAGACAGTTCACAGCGTGTGTCCCCACCATCCACACGGGTCCTCACACATGTCACAGAATGGTTAAATTGCTTAGCTTTTTAGTTATGGGCTCTTGCTGGTCCTGAGAACGGAACCCAGAATCACAAGCCTTCCAGGCAAAGGCTCAGACAGGGAAGGACATCTCCAGTCCAAGCCACTATTTTCTCTAAGTGTCAGTGAGGGTTACTATATTAAGAAGTTGTCTCAAGTCAATGGGACCCCCCAAGCTGTATGTGACTACACTTCTAGGTATCCCCAACAGCTGGAGAGGCTGCCTCCACCACAGCTCTGTCATTTGTACCTGAGAAAAGAGACTAGGCATGCCGCTCCCTAAAGCCTTATCTAGGGCAAAGCCTGGGGTTTCAAGATGCTGGGAGTCCCTGGTCAGTGAAGCTCTGCAGACAGGAAGCCTTTCCTAACGTCCCCTAGCCAGGACTTCCATGGTCACACACATGCTGGTTCTCTACTCAGAAGTGGAGTGTTAATCCGAGTCGCAGATTCCTGAGCACGGCATGTCCCTCGGGGAACCCTCACACAGCCACCAGCAGGTGCTTAGGGAAAAGATGTCCAGAGTGGGCTCTGCTGAAGAACGCCCTGTGCCTGCCCAGTGGCTTATGACGGCTTCCTCTACTGCAGCCGTCTCTCTAGCTCAGCCCTACAAGTATCGAGAGAAACTGCACAGGGGCTGGGGAGGTGGATCCATCAGTAAAGTGTTTGTTGTGTTCAGACTCCTGGAGTAGGCTGGCTGACTTGCATGGCTGAATTAGTGAGCACCAGGACCCAGTTTAAGACCCTGTCTCAAAAATAACACCAAGGTCGACACCTAAGGTTGACCTCTGGCATCTACACACAACATATGTACATATGTGTGTTCTCTCTCTCTGTCTCTCTCTCTCTGTCTCTCTCTCTGTGCCTCTCTCTCTCTGTCTGTGTGTGTGTGTGTTGTGTGTGTGTATGACACTTGACTCTAGTCCAAGTGCAGCTCACAGAGAGAGGCAGGACTACACATAGAGGCTAAGAGAAAGGGAAGTCTGACAGAGAGGACCTAGTCTCGCTTCTGCCGTAGCTCCGACCAGGCTCCGCCCCAGCACCAGCTTTTATCCCACTAACTTGTGAGTAGAACGGCACAGGGCTCTCTCTTCTCTCTTGTTCTTCATAAATGAGAAGAATGTTGGTGGCAGAGACCATCTACAAAGGACAGAGATGCATGCAAACACCCCTCCGGTGGTCAAAGCTTGCCTCTTGCAATATGTCACTTAAGACATCAATCATGTGTAGTTCCTGGAATCAGCTCCTGCCCTCCAAAAACTGTCACCAGCACGAGCGTGTGGTGTGCACCTGTCCCACGCAGTTGCGTTTTTATAAAGCCGGCATCCTGGCCAACACAATGAGACCTGATAGACACTAGGGACATAATTAAACCCGGGAGAAAGCTGGTGTCCCCCCTCCTCCCCACCCAGTGTCTGCCCAGCAGGGACATACAGTTCCACACACAGGTCAAAGCCACAGAGGGCCATGAGCACCTGCTGCTTCCTCTCCCCATTGCAGCCTCTCTAAGATGTCAGACGCCAAGGTGGGAGGGGGGAGGGAGCACACTTCTCCGGGTAAGTGTGCCAAGACGGAGGCAAGCTGAAAAAAGCAGGCAGCACCAACACATTAGCATTTGTTGTTAGCATTTTGTTGTTGTTGTTGTTTTTCAGAAAATGGAAAACAAAACTCTGTTCCTAGGCATACACGGTTAGACATGGGAAGGACAGCCAGCCAACGGCGAGTGAGGGCTTTCCGGCCTCCTACCTCCTCCTGCTCCTTCAGGACCATTGACTGCCCACTCTGCAGTAAGGAAGGCTCGATGGATTAAAAACTGAAGAGGCCCCCTGAACACCCACATTCCAGTGTCATTCACTTCCCCACATCCTGCCTTTCTGTGTTTATAACCCCTGTGTGAATGAATTAGGATTTGAGAAAAAATAAATTATTTTAAAAAAAAAAACTGAAGAGGCCTCAAGTAAAACACACCCCTGCCAAACTCCCCACAGCCTAGACAGTGGTTGGCTCACAAATTCTGGGAGCAGTAAGCTCCCAGGGAATCAAGTCTTGCTGTCCCAGAAGGTCTATACCCTGAGTGTGCTCGGTCGGAGGTAACCGCGGGGATTCCGTTATCAAAACCCATTAATTGACACTTCACGTGGCACCTGCGAAGGGCCAGGCTGCAGCCCTTTTCAGGTCTGGGAAGCAAATTAACAGAGCCACGGGAGGGAAGCCTTTAGCCGGCCTTAAGTGCAGGGCAGCAGGCTACTTCTGCGCAGGATTCTGTGGACATTTGTATTCAGAAGCTGGGGAAAGAATCAGAAACAAAGCCTGCTCGTTTGTGAGATCCTCTGAGACACGTTCCGATCCCCACATTAAGAGTGGCAATTAATGTCCTCTCCAATGTCCCAGATCAGCTGTTTACTGAATCTTCTGCCAACAAGTGAGGTCTGGGCACCGATGGTTAGAGCGCCTCTTTCTCAGCCCTTCCCCAACCCCACCCCACAGCATTTAGCGTCCACTCCACAACCATTTCTGATTTTCTATATTATCCATCCAGAGCTTGCCCTGGGAGCATCTCTATATCTAAAGCATATATTAAAACAAACAAACCAAAGATTAACAATAACAACAAAGAAAGCACATAGCACAGTACAAACTAGCCAATGTCTATTTACGTTGCCCAGAGAAATCCCCTCTGCTCAGGCAGCTGGTCAAATACACCTGCCACCAAGCCTGATACCTCCACCATTCCCCTCTCTCCCAGCTCCCAGTAAGGAGGACCAATCATGACTGGAAGGGCCCTTAATGAGAGACTGGCTTAGGAGCCCACGTGGCCCCACTGAGCGAGGAGAATGGGAGGCAAGCAAGTGTACAGAACCACTGAGCCACTTCAACCCCCTGCTTAGGAGGTCGGGACACTGCAGTCATGACTTTCTTTCCCGTATGAGTAGGAAATATTCCAATAAGAAGTTTACACATAGCTAGACAGCATTAAAAGAAGAATCTGCAGCTCCCTGTGACGTCCTCTAAAAGCCACCGGCACAGACAGTTAGATCTGACAGCAAAGAAACCGAACGTCCAGGGGCCAGAAACAGACTCTGTCATTCAAGTTTCCAGAAAGACAACAGGTGACAGATGGTGGTTCCTTAGGAAACTGTCACAGTGGGCCCTGCAGCCTGCTCATCTGACTGCAGGGGCCAGGGGATGTGCTGTGTGTGCCCTGCAAGTGATAAGTCTTGCGGCAGCCCTGGAGCCCAGCACCTCTCTCTAGTTGGTAATTTAGGGTGAGACAGGAGGAAGGGCTCAGGCATGGCTGTACAGGCCTGAAATCCCAGCATTTGGGAGGTGAAGCAGGAAGATTGTGAGTTCAAGGCTAGCCTGGGTTACATAAAAAAGAAAGAAAGAAAGAAAGAAAGAAAGAAAGAAAGAAAGGAAGGAAGGAAGGAAGGAAGGAAGGAAGGAAGGAAGGAAGGAAGGAAGAAGGGAAGGTGGGAGGGAGGGAGGGGAGGTAGGAGGGAGGGAAAGAGAACGAGGAAGACAGGAAAGGGGGAAGGGAAGGAGACAGGGAGAGAGGGAGGGAGTGGGAATACAGGAAAAGCAGAGGGAGAAGCACACACACAAGAGCCGTTTCACTGTGTCCTGGAGCTCACATCCCCTGACTCTGTGAGCTAACAGAAAAACAATCTCATTTTCTCCACATACTTTTCCTCTTTCTGGGTGATCAGTAAATCCAGGCACCAACTTAGAGGTACTTCTGTCCACCTCTAAGACCTACTGGGCGCGTACATGGTACGGGGACAAGACCCATCCCACCCTGTGACTGACATCAACCCTTCTCTCCTCTGCCAATAGCAAGCACTGTGGTAAGTTTAGCCAAAGGCTTCTTTTCTGGCTGCTGTATACAGCCTGGCCTTGGCTCTCTGCTTGGCCAAGCAGCTCATGCCAGAAAGGGATGTTCAAACCAAACCCAAACCACCTGCCTGGTTCCCACCCAGAACAGAAGCTCGACAGCTCTGGCTCTCCCCAGCATTGATGATTTTGCTGCTGTTTGCATCATACAGTCTCTGGATGGTAGGGAGGAAACCTGGAGCTGAGAGACACGTGGCCATCAACGTCAGATGTGAGCTCTGACCTCCCAGACTCCCCCTCACCTGCTACTTCCTGTTAACCTGTGTATTTGTGAGGAACTAGTAAAGATCTTTCTATCCTTGGCTGTGTCGTCATCCCCCTGATGACTCCATCAGCTCTCAAGCTCTCCCAGAACCATGATCCTCACCCCTCCCTCTCCCTCCCAGTTCCGGTTGCTCGTGTATGTGTACATGACGGCTCCACATCGGCTACAACTTACACATCTGACGTTCAAAATCTGAACTTAGCAAGATGTGAACAGCGAGGCATTAATCATGCTAACTCGCGAGTGCTTTCTTGATGGAAGGAATCACCACTCACTCCTGTCTGTTTAGAATCCACCAACTATCTGAGGTCTGAATGGATCCATCAGGACAAGCAGAAAGAAACCTGCTGCCCGCAGTGGGATGACAATACTCACCAGGTGAGGTATCAGGAGGTCAGCCAGGTAGACAAAAGCAGCCCCAAGGGTGAAGCCAACAGCCACTGGGAAGAAGGCAAAGGCACCAAAGCCCCCTGAGGATGTGGCCATCTCAACCGCTGGTGCAAGTAGTGACCAATAGGAAGCTGCTAACATGACCTGGAGAAACCACAGGGAGAAGCTAGTCATTAACCAACCATAAGGCTTTTGGGGTGGGGGAACAACCCATAAGCCCCCATCTCCCAAGGACAAAAACCAACCCATAAGGCCTTCTGAGGATGGAGTCCTCCACCTTCCAAGAGGTAGAAAACCAATCCATAAGGCTTTTGGAGTAGCAAGAGTCAACCCATAAGGCCTACATTGTTCTCTACGTCCTAAAATAAGCCACACGATTTCACACGTGCTAGCCCTTAACCTCAGGTGGTAGGTACTATCTCAACCAAAAGACTACCCCTGGAGACTAGCAACAGTTCCTCCCAGATTCCTGTTTACTAACCTAACTTGACAAAGGCGAAGCCACTGGCAAGTAGCCCAAGCTTTTGTAAATAACCCTTCAGTCAAGCTCCTGTAAGCGTGAAACACATTGGGTCAGCAACAGCAAAGGCACGAAAGGAGAGGAGGGCTAACTGAGAAGAGGAAAGGTGACAGCGGGAAAGGGAGGGGCGGCGAGGCGGTAAGGGGAGTGAATATGATCAAAATATATTATATACATGTATGAGAAATGTCATCAGGAGATCTGTTACTATGTATAATGTAATTAATGCATGCTAATAAAAACACGGAAAAGAAAGGAACCCAGTTTGGCGCAGGACGGAGTTGATCGGAAAGGATGGAGTCAGATTCCTCCTGTGGAGGCTCTGACACTGGAGTTCTTAACCAAACGTGATTTTTGTGATCCACACACAGGTGATATTGGAGTCACTTTGTCACACTGGGGGTGGGATGGTACACCCTCCCATGTGCGTCACAGCCCCTGACAACCAAGAGCCATGTGGCCCCAGATGTGAGTCCTGAGGCTGCTGAGAGATGCTGCTCCGATTTCAAGCTCCCGAGACAAACTTCTGATAATTACAAGGGCTCCACAGCGCTAGAACACAGCTGATTATTATAGAGATCTTCCTCGTGTTGGGTGACACGTGTCTCCCTCCACGCTTGCCTCCTTGCTCTTGCCCCACCCTCTGGCACATCAACACTGGTGGGCCTTCTCCCCTGTGTCATGTGATGGCATCTGAAACTTCTGAAAATGTCAGTCCGTCAGTGTCAGATTGGTCCCTGCAGTGTCCCCATCTCTGTAACTGTTGACCAACAGCCATTTCTAGGCACCAAGGTTTGTATTCAATATCTTGTCTTGACCTCCTCACCGCGGGAGACAGATGTTTTCCATTGTTATCTGTGGAAAAATAAATTGAATCGCAGGCTGGGGATATGGGCTCGGGGAGTAAAACATTTCCTATGCAGCCAGGAGGACATAAGTCAAATCCTCCCGAATCCGTGTTTTAAAAAGCTGATTGTGGCAGCCCATGCTTGTAATCCCAGCTCCGGGGAGGTGGTGACAGGCAGCTCCCTCGGAGATGCTGGCCAACCAGCCTAGACAAATCGGCAGCTCCAAGTTCAATGAGAGACCCTGTCTCAATAAACAAACTGTATAACAACACCAGAGTCGATCTCTGGCCTCCACAAGAGTGTACACACGTAGATGAGTACCCACTGTGCTGGTTAATCTTGGTTGTCAAATTGACACACCCAGAAGAGGTCCTCAACTGAGGAATCGCCTCCATCGGAATGGGCTATAGGCATGTGTCTGTGTGGCATTTTCTTGTTGGATGTAAAAGGGTCCAGCCCACTGTGGGCAGTGACAGCCCTGGGCAGGAAGTTCTGAGCTACATAAGAAAGGTAGCTGAATGCAATGCTCAGAACGAACAGTGTTCTGTAGTCTCTGTGATTTCCCACCCAGGGTCCTGCCTTGACTTCTGCCCTGATGTTCCTCTATGATGGGCTGTGACCTAGGACTTAGCTGTAAGATAAAATAAACCCTTTTCCACCCCCAAGTTGCTTTTGGCCAGTGTTTTAGCGATAGAGAAACACACAAGGACATTCCCATGTACACACACATACACATTAAAAGGGAGGGGGAAAGAAACTGAATTTTAAATACGAAGGCAAGTTGTTCTTTTCACCCAGGCAGTAAGCGGCAGATGCAGACCAACCAGCACTGCAATCAGCCCAGTGACCAGAAGAGAACCGTGCAGCTGCTCTCAGAGGCCAACAAGCTCCATTTGAAACTGTTCTCCGGGGCTGACAGAATTAATCATTCGCCTGTGGCTTTTTAATCTTACGCACGCTGTGACATCGTCATGGCTAGAGTCCACCCACCACCTGTCGTAACAGTCACAGACGACATATCCAACGTTGAATGGGTTTCTAAATTTTACTTAATTATGCCGCATCACCCGTCTCCAAAATAACACACAGAGTGACAACCAGGCATTAGGGTGGCAAGGTGAAGAACAATCCACGCAGGAAGCCGTGGATTGCCTTCTGCCAGCCATTGCTCACACCAAGACGCTCACCCTGGAACTCATTGTCCCAGCAAAGGTCTTAGTGTCACCTATGGAATTCTGCCTCTGCCTCTGAGGCTCCAGGAAGGATGAAAGTATGTCATCTCAACCAGGTGGGCACAGAGGTTGACCAGTTCATACCATGAGTCTGCCCTGTCACAAAGGGACCCAGGGACTCCCATCCCCGTCCAGAGTTCTGCTCATTAGCCTTAGACTTCCGTAGCCTTTGTCAGCTCACTATCCACACAGGGATGGACCCAGACTTGCTCCTCATTCTCCTCTGTGAACTTGACCCAACCAGGAATCCATCCCGTACTCGGTCCCCACTTGAACAGTTTCAAAACCGTAAGACCCAGGGAAAGTCACTCATCGGACCCTCCAAAATCTCTCTACACACTGCGAGGTAACAAGGGGACCCTACCCAGCATCTCTTCAACTCCTTACCAGCCTCCGGCTCATTCCTATTTCTATTTCAACACCTATCCCAACATCTTCCTTTGGCATTTCTGGGACCAAGAATGTTTCCTGCCTGTGACAGCTAATCTTGGTTGTCAACTTGCCTGGGTCTGGAATCAATTAAAAGACAAGCCCCTCGGCGCTGACTGCTGTAAGAGATTTCCTTGCTCACGTTCTCAGAAGAGGGAAGACCTCTCCTAAATGTGGGTGGCACCTGCAAGAGCAACCCAGATAAAAACAGATGGAGAAAAAAATAACTTCCAATTCTTGCCTACTTGCCTTCACTCCGCTGGCAGTTCATCTGCTCATGAAGCATTTCTTCACCTATAACAGAACCAACATCTCCAGGCTTCCGATGCAGACCGAACACCAGAAGCTCTCCAGAAACCCTCTAGGCCTTCAGCACCAGACTGAGACTGCTGGGAAGTCTTGCCACCTTAGACTTAATGACCATGAGATTCTCAGCCTCTCCAACCATAGACAGCCAGACTATATCATGTAAGACAATCTTAAAAATGTCATTTTAATATGATTTATTCTATCAGCCCTGTCCTGTCATCTAGATACTCAAGAGGACCACCACAACCAACTCATGTCCCTCTGCACGAGAAACGTGCCAAGTTCTCACAGCTACGTTATTTATTATGGCGCAGACAGCCAAGCTCTTGCAAAGGCCATGCTGGAGTCTGGGATGCTTGGAGTGGAAGAAACACAGGCGGACTGCTCCGTGGAAACCACTGTTCTTCACCCCTCTAGTCAAATCTAGAGCCCCACCAGAGTGCCTTCATCTTTTAATTTCCTTGCCAGCTTCCTGATTTACACACAAACTGAAGACTACCAACAGAACAGTTTGTACACGGCAATGGGTTCCGCCTAAAGTGGGTGGAGTCTAAAGATAAGCTATTACAAGGACACGTGTGGTAGGCAAGAGGCCCGTGTGCTAATGGTCAGACCTGTGACCTTCTCATTTCCTGTGGCAGAAGGAATTCTGCAGGTGTGACCACACTGACCACACTGAGATGGAAGAGATAGCTGTAGACATCAGAGGGGGGCCAACGCTGTGCCTGGGACCCTCAAGAGGGCGTGAGAAGAAACAACATCAAACTGGAGGCCTGACTTTATTTACATGAGATACCCAAATGTAGAAACCCAGAGAGAGTACACTGGTGGTTGCTATCTGGGGTGGAAGATGGGACAGTTGCCCACTGTGAATGTTCATGTTCTCCATCCATTGACCACTGAATAGGCACTGTCGTGTGGTGTAAATCTTACCACAACTTATTTCAAAATCTAGGGTGGGCCTAATCAAGTCAACCCTACCTTGCTTGACTACCCTCAGAGGTGTGCTGAACTCTCCAGGCCCCTGGAACAGCTCTGTGTCTCCATCTGTGGCAATGCCAAGACCTACCTCTACTGGCCTTTCTCCTAGCGTCTCTGACCCTTGGCTGCCAGTTCATGTCCATGACAACAAAATGCAGAATTTGGACTCAGGAGCTCGGCTCTGGCACCTACCAGTGAGGTGGCCCCAGAAAACAAAATGAGGCCTCTGTTGCTCAGCCTGGCCAACTGGAAAGGATGCCACCAACCAGGGCTACTGGAAGAATGTAGCAATGGGGCCAGCATGCCAACCCAGGAGCTGGCAGGAGGCAGGTGTTATTTTAGATAATCCCACTTCTGAAAGCTCTGCTGGCTAAGTCTGTTCCTCCTCCTCTGATCTTGCATCGCTCCCCTCTGCCTGGGGCCCTTATCCATCTCACTGGCTTTGTTCTCTGCATGCAAACTCCCAGGACCATGAAGAGACAGGACCTGGCTCGTGCTTGGAGCACTTCTGTGCGCTGCCACCACCCAGCAGAGCGGCTGTGGACAGAGGCTGTTGCCTAGATGAATTCTCTGTCATCCCTGCAAATGAAGGGGAGCAATGGGGGGTGGGGTGAGACAAGAATGTATGACAGGAAGTGATTCCACCCTCATTTCTGAGTCTGTTGCCTGCATTTTTAAAGTGATTTTTTTTTTAACCTTTCAAATTAAGTAGCACATAGGCTCACATTCAGATGCCTTCAGTCTGACAAATGCTGGCTGAGTAACTGTAATCAGGGAGTCTTTCAGGGGTGGGAAACCAGCATAGATTTTGCAAGGCTCTGTGGA